TAATAATAATAATAATAATAATAATAATAATAATAATAATAATAATAATAATAATAATAATAATAATAATAATAATAATAATAATAATAATAATAATAATAATAATAATAATAATAATAATAATAATAATAATAATAATAATAATAATAATAATAATAATAATAATAATAATAATAATAATAATAATAATAATAATAATAATAATAATAATAATAATAATAATAATAATAATAATAATAATAATAATAATAATAATAATAATAATAATAATAATAATAATAATAATAATAATAATAATAATAATAATAATAATAATAATAATAATAATAATAACAGTAATAGTAAATTAATTAAAATTTGATATAAATTAATTGAAAATGTGATTCGAAATTTGTGGAAATTGAGCAAAAAAACAAATTGGACATACACTGGGATAAGTTAATTTTTAGCAAAAAAACAAAAGTTTTGGTCCAATAAAATAAAAGATTGAAATTTGCTTGCATTCATACAAATATAAAATCCTCTATAAATAGAAAATATCAAGGAAAAGAAAGGAAGTAAGAAAACAAATATGCCTTCAATTTGTTATCTACAATTACAGGTTCATCCTATGATGAGGAAAATAAATTAGCGTATAGCACCATGGTACCATGGTGGTAGGAAAAAAATGGCATCAAAATTAATAAATAAATAAAAAGGCAACTGTAATTAAATTGAATGGAATAGAATTACGAATGGTAAAATATAAATTTTTTATATAATTTTAGGAGGAGGGAGGAGGGGGGGGAGAAAAAAACGAGAAATTGATCAAGAAAATGAAATTGATCGAGAAATTGATCAATAATTGGAATCATTTCGGTACCTTTTGCACCATTTCTAATAGCAAAAGGAATTGCATAGGTTGTAAAGAAGGAATAAGTGAAGAATATAGGTGCCATGGAATGAGATTGAAAAAAAAAAAACGGAAGAATTCTGAGAAAAGAATAAAATAGTGGTAGTATTTTCAATTAAGTACGACGATATATCGGTTGTGGTGGTTCCACTTCTTCAAAAGCCCAAGGTGGCCAACGAAAACTCAAACAACAACAGTGAAACTTGTAGTATTTTTGCGCTCCAAAACCATAACGTGTAGTATCTGCTGTAGTACCACGGATTATTGCTCGATCTCTCATTGCACTTGTAACATTTGCAGGTCCAACTCCTGGTCCATAATAATCAGGTTGTTGATGACTAGAATTAATAGCTCGATAGTAATTTACTATTCCACGATCAGCACCAAACTCCACCTCATCTTGTAACGCTGAACCACTGGGAAAATCGTTTCGGGTACGCCGTACTGATTCATTTCTATTGACAGCGATACCACTTTGCGATCCTGCAAAGCCTCCAACAGTCCCAGAATGTCGATAAAAGTATGACGGTAAATTGTGTCGCCTTGATTTGGTACCACCTAAAGTACCACCAATACCACCATGACTTGGACGAACTGGAGATAAACTTTGAGCTTTGGAACGTCGAACGGTTACAGCCATTTGTTCACCGTTGGGATTTTCACGATAATTTCGAATTGAACGATCCAGGGCATCCCAGTCAGATTCAGTAGGATTGGATTGTAGAGTGACAAAGTTATCAAAATAATGTTCGTTACCACGTCGTCCATCGTAGGTACCTCGATATCCGGTAGCAGGACCAGTATTAATACTAAGATACGGCTGATAATGATAGTTTCGTTGTTGTTGACACTGATACCTTTTTGAAGCACCATTAAATCTCTCGTCTGTTCCCATTACTGGAAATCCATAATCATCAGTGAATAACCAGTCTCTTCGATTCTCCAATGATCGCGACCGTCGTGGTTGTTTCTCACTTCCAAAATGACCAGGTCCTGAAGCACCAAAATAATATCCACCTCCACCGCCAGCCCCAGTACCGGAAATAGAATAGTCCAATTCAGAGGATCGATAAATTGGATTTGATTCCTGTGGTATTGGTGAATGCGGACGAAAACGCCGTTGCCGGCAACTATAATGAGAATCCATAATAGCCAGTCGTTATAGTTGTAGTAATCAAGACACCTATCAGGTATCTTAAAATTTCAGCTTTATCATCCAATAATAAATTTTTCAATCAACGATAACTTAAATAATTTAATTAGGAAATTAGCAGAAAAAATATAGCCTGATCGATTTTGCCGTTTCTTTCGAATTAATTTGAGAGAAAAACAGAAAAGCCAAATCCGAATAAAGGAAGAACAGGAAATATTTGAATATTTGATAGTAATTAATAATAATAATAATAATAATAATAATAATAATAATAATAATAATTAATAATAATAATAATAATAATAATAATAATAATAATAATAATAATAATAATAATAATAATAATAATAATAATAATAATAATAATAATAATAATAATAATAATAATAATAATAATAATAATAATAATAATAATAATAATAATAATAATAATAATAATAATAATAATAATAATAATAATAATAATAATAATAATAATAATAATAATAATAATAATAATAAT